TAAATATATAGTCCGTGACATACAAGTCTCAGTAATACTTGTGTGATAGACTTAAAATGCCCATGGTACTACAGATCACAGCAATACCAAGGTCATATAAATATAAGTGCTCATCATCTGGTGAAGAAATCTGTGGTACTACAAGGGACAGCAATACCAAGTGGGATGTTCAGAAGGTGCTCATGATCCACAGTGGAAATCCGCCACCTCTTAAGGATATGCACTCACCACAACACCACTGGTATAGTAGCGTTTGTGTTGATCCTTATGGGAGATCTAAGAAAGCCATATGCAGGGACCCGACTTCTCCAAAAGATAGGTGTATGGAAACCAATAAAAGGATCCTCCTATCTTTTTATCTTTTTCCATTCTTCAAGAACAATCTCTTTTAGATCGCGGATGCTGGATGGAGAGTGATGCTCAACTTGTCTCTTCAGAATTCCCCATAGGTATTTGATTGGGTTCAGATCAGGAGACATACTTGGCCCCTGAATCACTTTCACCCTGTTCTTCAGAAATGCAACAGTGGCCTTAGATGTGTGTTTTAGATTGTCATGTTGGAAAAGTGCACAACGACCAAGGGCACATAGTGATGGTAGCATCTTCTGTTTCAGTACAGAGCAGTATATCTGTGAATTCATGATACTATTAATGAAATGCAGCTCCCCGACACCAGCAGCACTCATGCAGCCCCACAGAAGGACACTGCCGCTACCATGTTTCACTGTGGGAACCATGCATTTTTCTTTGCACTCCTCACCTTTGTGATGCCATACAGTTTTGAAGTCGTCAGTTCCAAAAACATTTATCTTGGTGTCATTACTACAGAGTACATAGTCCCAGTAGTCTTCTTCTTTTTCAGAATGGGCCCTTCCAAATTCTAGGTGGGTTTTTTTTGTGCATGGGCTTTAGGAGAGGCTTCCTTCATGGATGACACCAATGCACGTCATTCCTCTGCAGTGTTCGCCATATTGTGTCATGGTAAACAATCATTCCAGTTTGGGTTTCTACTTGGTGATTTTTTTCAAAACATCTCATCAGAAGACGCTCCTGTCGAGGTGTTAACTCCTGTGGATGGCCTAGACATCTCTATGAGATGGTTGCAATTCCATCTTTGTTAAATTTTTTTTAATCACTTTTGCTACAGTGTTCTGCCTGATAAGTAAAGCTTTGCTGATCTTCTTGCAGCCTTCACCTTTCTTGTGTAAAGAAATGATTTTCTTTCTCAGGCCTTGTGACTTTTCTCTTCCATGTGGTGCCATTGCTGACAGCAAGAAATGTGAAGGGGTTTTCTTTGTTACATAACGCCCTTTTATAATCAACTGTCTGCTGGACACCTGTTTAATGAATAATTAGACTCACCGGTAGTTGAATTCTTGGTAATTAGGAGCAAAGCTAAATTTCAGACAACAAAATCCTAAGACTTTCATTGGAGTGTATTCATTTTTTCAACATAGTCTTAAATAATTTGTTAGGAAAAATACTTTTTTGTGTGTGCAAATAAACAAATCGTGTTTGCAATCAATGGCTCGTATTTGTGGGAGTATTTTGTAGTATAGTGCCCCATAGAAAATGTTGATCTGAAAGGAAAGTAAAAGGTTTCTGACAAATCTGTTGCGGTGTATTCATTTATGCTGAACACTGTATGTATAGTATATATTAACTAATCCTCATGCTGTATGTGGTGGCTGCATTCGTTTTCTTTTGTTTCTTTTTTTTTCTTTTTATAATCCTGAGAATAATACCATTCATGTCCTAGGGTGACTGTGCTTACTGATTTGAACTGAACAGATTTTTTGCTACCAAGAGACCTTCCTCTATTCACATCCATTAGGTGGAGGAACTAATAGGTTACAGCAGATTGCTTGGAAGGCAGATAGAGATATTTATATTTTCAGTGCAGCTCACAGTAAGTGACAAGGACACTGCATTTCTGGCAAAACTAACAGGTATTTTCTCTTCAGAGAGTATTTGAGAGGCGGTGTGGAGATGTTGTATCACCTCTTCATTGCCTGATTTAACCCCTTGAAGAACCCTGAACTAGCACGCTGCACACGCATGCATTGCTGGGTGGTTGCAGCGTGGTCCCATTCACTTAAATGGGTCACATTTAGTGAGCAGTAGCGCCACCTGCCTTAAGCTGCGGCCGCAAAGCATTGCAGCCATGGCATGTGTACAACTTTGGCCACTGCCTCTGCAACTAAAGGTGGAGTGGTAAAAATTTGGTTCAACTGCAGGCTTTCACCACCACCCAAACTGCTAGTTTGAATATGCCCTTAAGCCTGAAACCTAAAAAGGAATAGAGCCACCACATCTAAGGAATGGTAAGCTGCAGTATATTGAATTTTTGTTCTTGGGTTTATAGATCCCTTAAGCAACACAGTTAAGTCACCTCTCTACCCCCAGCTTATGACTGGCCTGTAAAGGAGCAGTAACAGCTGATGAACTTATCTCTCTGCTCTCTCCTCCTGTCTGAATATTTCTTGTCAACATGTGTGAATGCACATTACCTGGTTGACTGCAACTACTGCCCCTCACCCCCCAATTTGAGTGCTGCTGTTAGCCCGGGTTCACATATATGCGGCCGTGCGGGCACGAGAGCCCATTCATTTGAATGGACTCTCGTGCCCCGTGACACATAGGGAAGAAGTCCCTACACTTCTGCCGAAAACGCAGCCCGCATTGAGAACCGCAGTTCCCAGTACGATTGCATTTTCCAGCGCAAGCGGTGTACCATTAGAACTAATGGCCCTGCCCATGGGTTCGCATTTCTCTGTGCAGGTGGTGCGGCTGCATGGATTTTGGTGCGGATTCGCAGCGGCACCACCCGCACAGATGTGAACCTAGCCTTAAGGGGCTAAGCCGACTTGAATTTTGAACAATCCTTAATGAATTGGACCAATTATGAGCTTTGGGTGGCCCTGTTGGGGCCACCCGGCTCAACAACCGTTGACCCCTCAACTCACCCCTTCAGTCTCCTTTCGCATTACTAACATACTAAGCGACATATCGGCATGGATGTCACTCCACTTCCTCAAACTCAATCTTTCCAAAACTGAGCTCTTAGCATTCCCCCCAGCCCGTGCCCCCTCCCCTGACTTCTCCATCAAGATCAATAATACAACCATCAGTCCCTCCCCTCATGCCAGGGTACTAGGTGTAATCCTAGACTCCCATCTGTCCTTTCAGCCCCAAATCCAATCACTGTCCAAATCTTGTAGACTTCACCTCCGCAACATATCCAAGATACGCCCGTTCCTAACCTCGGAAACCACTAAGCAACTTATTCACTCCCTTGTTATATCTCGCCTTGACTATTGTAACTCCCTCCTCATTGGCCTACCTAATCGCAGGCTATCCCCTCTTCAGTCTATCATGAATGCTGCTGCCAGACTCATCCACCTTACTAACCGTTCTGTATCTGCCATCCCTCTCTGCCAATCCCTCCACTGGCTTCCCATTGCCCAACGGATAAAATTCAAAACATTAACAATCACATATAAAGCCATTTATAACTCTGCCCCAAATTACATCACTGATCTTGTCTCCAGATATCACCCAAACCGTACTCTCCGCTCCTCGCAAGACCTCCTACTCCCTAGCGCCCTTGTCTACTCCTCACGTGCTCGTCTCCAGGACTTCTCCAGAGCTTCCCCCATCCTCTGGAACACTCAAACCCAATTTATCAGACTATCGCCTACTCTGCTCACTTTTAGGCGATCTCTGAAAACCTATCTCTTCAGGGAAGCCTATCCTGCCCTCAGCTAATAATGGAATCTTCTACTCTTCCAACCAGTCCATCCCCCACAGTTGCTACCTTTTGTACCACTAGCCCCTCCCTCCTATACCTCTTGTATTGAACTGTATTGTTGCTGTATTGTCTCTCGTTATATTGTAAAGCGCTGAGCAAACTGTTGGCGCTATATAAATCCTGTATAATAATAATAATAATTTCAGTCTTCAAGGAGCCAGGTGGAAAACTGCAACCCAACCGTTATTACATTCTATGAAATGTCACTGTTCGGGTATTTTGGCAGCCATGGGTGTTGTGGTTGTCTGAATACAACAGCCCACAGTGTAGATTCCACCATCCGTGCTGTTTATCATGGATGGGGCAATTTATTGTTTTCACTTATTCACTCTGTGGCGCTGAACAAGAGAAATTAAAGCAGGTATGGCTACCCTTATAAACAGATAAAATCAGGTAAAATTCAAGTATTTAAACCAGCTACATTTAAAGTAATGGTTTGTAATAAATACATATATAACTGCATTCATTGTTTTTTGTTTTTTATTTTACTTTTTAATATCTGCCTGGAGTTCAGCTTTAAATATCATGCAGACGTCTGTTCTTGATTCAATGGAACAGAAAAGAAAGTGCAAAGAAAAAAACATTTTGTTTCAGAAAAGTACTTCAATTTGATAAATAGGCTTTTGTGTCATATAGGACACCCAGCAATTACGGTGGCTCATCGCAGATGTAGCAATGACGTTGTCGGCTCTTAATGAAAAAGACCAGCTTTGTGTGTCTGCGCAAATCGACCGCTATCTGCTTTAGAAGCAATAGGAAGTGTATTGTGTGACACAGAGTTCTAACTGTGATGTTCCTGTACAGCTTGTAAACAGTGGGGAGCCTCCAGGATCACAGGCAATCTAATGTCTTTTATAAGGTGTCAGCCTGTGGTCATTGGTGACTTGGAAGTGGCTGCTGGCAGGCTGTTTCCTGTAATATATCAAACCACACAGGGTCAGATCACACAGTAAAAGAGGAGGAATCCTCACTGCAGACTCTTACTGCAGTGTTCCTGCTCACATCACTCTATCTCCGGCTATCACTATGAAAACTGTTAACTGGCACCCTTATATGTGACCTTACAGGATTATATATTGTCTGAATCTTTTGGAATTGTTAACTTTTTTTTTTGTCTAAACCCACTGGAATAGTTACATTCTTTTGTCTAAATCCATTGGAATTGTTACCTTTTTTTTGGGAAAGCTAATTTTATTTATTTTTTTTCTACTCCTATGGAAGATGGGGAATTCATACGCTGGGCAGCTCAAAACGACGCGTTTTGAGGAAGTTTTGCACAATTCAATTGAGGCATCTCTGAGGTCGAACAACTTGGTCCCCCGACCCATCTTTTCACAGCTGTATTTGGAAGCTGAACAGCACCTCTCCTGCTTGGAAGGTAAGAGGTCGAGAGCCTGTGCACACTGCTGCTGTCATTTTACAGTTTAAAGATTCTAAAATATATTTCATTTATGCTTTAGACTGCTTATATCAATTAAAGTAGTAATAGGCACATCTGTATTTTGCAGTGAATTGGTTTTAACGAGTGTGTGTTATGTCGGGATCATGCAAGCAAGGGTCCAGATCAGCCTTTCTCAACCAGGGTTTCATGAAACCCTGGGGTTCCTCCAGAGGTTGCTAGGGGTTCCTTGATAAGAAAGCAATGGGCAATTGATCTTCTGCCTATAAAATCAATAATATACATATTATTTTGTAGTGAATTGTTTTTAACATAGTGATACTATATAACACACACACTGCTTTAAGGAGAAAGGCATGGCAGATTGGTCTTCTGACTGCAATGACCATCAATTTAGGAGGTCATTACAATTTTTACTGTTCTTTTCTGGCCATTATTACCATTCACTTTATTTCAGGATTATTACTATAGGTCATTTTGTCATATAGAGTGTGGGGGTTTAAGAAAACCCCATTATTTATTATTTTACTTCTCTACAACCTACTGATTACACTAGTGTACCATGAGCTGTGGGTACAATTATTTTTAGTGGGGGTTTCTTGAAATCTGAAAATTATATCAAGGGTTCCTTAGGAAAAAGGTTAAGTTAAGTTGGCAGACAGACTTGCAAGTTGTAATTTCCCAAGAAGAATCCCCGAGTAATTATCTCCAGCTGTGCACTTTATATTGCACACAGTATATTGTACATTTATATCAGTTCCTGCGCTCAAGGAGCTTACAATCTAAGGTTTAAAGCGGTTGTAAAGGCATAGGCATATATATATATATATATATATATATATATATATATATATACACACACACGCACACTATATTGCCAAAAGTATTGGGACGCCTGCTTTTACACACACATGAACTTTAATTTCATCCCAGTCTTAGTCCGTAGGGTTCAATATTGAGTTGGCCAACCCTTTGATATTGTAAAGCGCTCAGCAAACTGTTGGCGCTATATAAATCCTGTATAATAACAATAATCACAACTACAACTCTTCTGGGAAGGCTGTCCGCAAGGTTTAGGAGTGTGTCTATGGGAATATTTAACCATTCTTCCAGAAGCGCATTTGTGAGGTCAGGCACTGATGTCGGACGAGAAGGCCTGGCTTGCAGTCTTCACTCTAATTCATCCCAAAGGTGTTCTATTTGGTTGAGGTCAGGATTCTGTGCAGGCCAGTCAAGTTTCTCCACCCTAAACTTGCTCATCCGTGTCTTTATGGACCTTCCTTTGTGCACTGGTGCGCAATCATGTTGGAACTGGAAGGGGCCATCCCCAAACTGTTCCCACAAAGTTGGGAGCATGAAATTGTCCAAAATGTCTTAGTATGCTGACGCCTTAAGAGTTCCCTTCACTGGAACTAAGGGGCTAAGCCCAACCCCTGAAAAACAACCCCACTACATAATCCCCCCTCCACCAAACTTTATACTTGGCACAATGCAGTCAGACAAGTACCATCTCCTGGCAACTGCCAAACCCAGACACATCCATGGGATTGCTAGACACAGAAGCATTATTCATCACTCCAGAGAACATGTCTCCACTGCTCTAGAGCCCAGTGGTGGCGTGCTTTACGCCACTGCATCCAATGCTTTGCATTGCACATGGTGATGTAAGGCTTGGATGTATTTCATTTCATGAAGCTTTCTACGCACTGTTGTGTTAATCTGAATGCCACACAAAGTTTGGAGGTCTTTAGCTATTGACTCTGCAGACAGTTGGCGACTTCTGTGCACTGTGCGCTTCAGCATGCGCTGACCCCGCTCTGCCATTTTATGTGGTCTACCACTTCATGGCTGAGTTGCTGATGTTCCCAGTTGCTTTTACACTTTGTTAAAAATACCACCACTAACAGTTGACTGTGAAATATTTAGTAGCAAGGAAACTTCACGGATGGACTTATTGCACAGGTGGCAACCGTACCATGCTTGAATTCAGTGAGCTTCTGAGAGCAACCCATTCTTTCAGAAATGTCCGTAGAAGCAGTCTGCATGCCTAGATGCTTTATTTTATACACCTGAGGCCATGGAGGCGATTGGAATACCTGAGTCTAATGATTTGGAGGGTGTCCCAATACATTTGGAAATATAGTGTATATACAGTGGGGAAAATTATTATTTGATCCCCTGCAGATTTTGTTAGTTTGCCCACTTACAAAGAAATGAAGGGTCTATATTTTTTATCATATGTGTATTTTAAATGATAGAGACAGGCTATCAACCAGAAATCCAGAAAAACACACAATACAAATGTTATAAATTGAGTTGCAGTTGCAGTTCAGTGAGTAAAATAAGTATTTGATCCCCTACCAACCAACAATAATTCTGTCTCCCAGACTGGCTATGTGCTCATGTGGTATACAGATTAGTCCTGTCAATTTAAGAAGGTGCTCCTAACGACAACTCGTTATGTGTATAAAAGACAGCTGTCCACAGAATCTCTTTCTTCCATTCAAAATTCACCACCATGGGCAATACCAAATAGCTGTCAAAGGACTTCAGGGACAAGATTGTAGACCTGCACAAGGCTGGAATGGGCTACAGGACTATCAGCAAGACGCTTGGTGAGAAGGAAACAACTGTTGGAGCAATTATTCGCAAATGAAAGAAATACAAAATAATCAGGCTCTCAGGCTGGAGCTCCATACAAGATTTCACCTCATGGGGTAAGGATGATCATGAGAAAAGTGAGGGATCAGCCCAGAACTACACAGGAGGAGGTTGTGAATGATCTCAAGGCAGTTGGGATCACAGTTACCAAACAAAAGATTGGTAATACAATATGCTGCCATGAATTGAAATCCTGCAGATCCCCCTCTTCAAGAAGGCACATGTACAGACTCATCTGAAGTTTGCCAGTGAACATCTAAATGATTGAGAGAAAGTGCTGTGGTCAAATGAGACCAAAATTGAGCTCTTTGGCATTAACTCGACTTGCCATATTTGGAGGAAGAAAAATGTTGACTATGACCCTAAGAACACCATCCCTACAGTCAAACACGGAGGTGGAAACATTATGTTTTGGGGCTGTTTCTCTGCTAAAGGTACAGGCCGACTTTGCAGCACTGGGGGGCCAATGAACGCCACCATGTGTTGTAAAATCTTGGATGACAACCGTCTTCCCTCAGCCATAACACTGAACATGGGTCGTGGATGGGTCTTCCAGCATGACAATGACCCAAAACATACCGCCAAAGCAAGAAAAAGCACATTAAGGTCATGGAGTGGCCTAGCCAGTCTCCAGACCTTAATCTTATATAAAATGTGTGGAGGGTGCTGAAACTTTGAGTTGTCAAGCGACAGTCAAGAAACCTAAAGCGGAGCTCCACCCAAAAGGGGAAGTTCTGCTTTAAGGCTTTGTCCCTGCTCCCTGTTAAGGATTGGCACCTTTGGGGAACAGGGGGAGCCCGAATTTGACAGGTACCCGCTCCCACTTCCGTTGTGATCGCCAGAGACAATCGAAAGCGGAAGTTGTCCTCCCCCCTCCCTTCCTGTAGTCTTCTGGGACATGTGACAGGTCCCAGAAGACTACGGGATCATTCAAAAAGTTCAGCGCTACTCACGCATGCGCAGTGGGTACCCAGCTGTGAAGACGCAAGCTGTCACAGCCGGGTGCCAACACTGAAGATGTCGGCATCGGGAAGAGAAGACGAACGGTGAAACCAGTGAGGATATTGCTGGACTGAGGGACAAGTAAGTATCTGTATTTTAAAAGTCAGCAGCTACAGTTTTTGCAGCTGCTGACTTTTATTTTTTTTGATTCAGCTGCAACTCCGCTTTAAGGATTTAGAGAAGATCTGTAAAGAGTGGACCAAAATCTCTCCTGAGATGTGTGCAAACCTGGTATCCAACTACAAGAAATTTCTTACCTGTGCTTGCCAACAAGGGTTCCTCCACCAGTACTAAGTCATGTTTTGCTTGGGGATCAAAAACTTATTTTACTCACTGAACTGCAACTCAATTTATAACATTTGTATCGTGTTATTTTCTGGATTTGTGGTTGATATTTTGTCTCTATCATTTAAAATACACCAATAATAAAAATGATAGATCCTTCATTTCTTTGTAAGTGGGCAAACTTACAAAATGCAGGGATCAAATAATTATTTTCCCCACTGTATATATTTTTAAATAACAAACATGGCATACTTACCTGCTGGTATTGCACAGAGCAACCCCAAACCTGCTCTTCTGGGGTCACACGCCAGCGCTCTCAGCTCTTCCTCTTGGTGTGCCCCTATAGGAAACCACTTCCTGTGGAAGCACACCTGCGGGCTTGCTCCTGAGCCAATGGCTGTCTTGCTGTCTCTGAGCCTGTGAGAGGGGAGAGAGAGAAGCAGTACTGCTGGTACAGGCAAGCACAGCATTGGACTGATACAGAACTCAAGTAAGTATTTATGGAGGGGGGTGGGGGGAACAACTAATGAAAGGGTTTTTTTTTACCTTAATGTAATGTATTAAGGTACAAAACCTTGTGGTTTTAGAACCACTGTAAGCATATGGCTAGGTTTGCACTAGACTGCATGGTAAAACACAGCGTTTTACTCTGAAAGCTGGTACAGTGTAAAGTTTTTCAACTTTATTTGACGTATCACATAATGACACTTCGTTCATGTCACTGCACACCAGCACTGTTACCTGTGGTGCCATCGAGTGCAGTGTGGAGAAATTTAGACATTTTTACATGTGCATTTTTTACACTGCACATCACACCAGCTTTGTGGTATGAATGGAGCACATTGAAAACAATTATTTTCTGTGTGCCCTTTTAGAGACATGCGACCCCACCCCCCCCCCCCCCCCCCCCCCCCCCCCCCCCCCCCCCCCCTATATCCAGTGAGGAAAAATTCAAGTCACTGCACATAATGTAAACAAGCTGTAAAAACTGTCACAAACAACGAGGCACTGTGAAATGTATATAGTTTAGT